GATAGCATTGGTTTTTGAAGAGACCTCAGATTGCAAAAGCAGCACGTGGTAATACCGGTTTTGTTGTGCAATGATGTCCTTACGTGAAGAAGTATTGGTGCTGTACATAAAATGCAATATAAAATCTATACCATTTTATTATTGGCTTGGAATCAAATGTTTCTTAAACATTTTATATTTTAGAGACAAAAAGGTTTATAATCATAGTATCGAAAGACATCAATTTTCTTTATATTTACATAATTTTGCAATTAGAATAGTCATGAAAAGTTTGTTCGTGTCTAAAATCCACGATTACTTTTTGTTTCATCTGAATTCGTAATAGTCACGATATCTTACAATGAGATTCACAATATAATGATTTTTATAAAGCGGCTGCTGAATTTATTGGATTAATGCTACTATCAATTTCTATCGGTAATTTAAATAATATAATACTTTTATTACCAAAATAAGACAAGTCTGCCGCAACGAGACATTTCAAAAGTCAAAAATCATTTATTCATATAGGTAACACACTGTACACTTATGAATGTCAAAAACGGAATATGTATACATTAAATGCTTCTAATTTTACATTAAGCCAGTACTCAAATCAAGGGCATAGAACGGAAGAGAAGAACTAGCAATAAACTCTCCGCCACTCTTTTTAATCGTTTTTAAGGAGCTTGATGGAACGTCAGATTTTGTGTTACTTTTTCAGGTCTCTCACAACTTGAAGCTGGGGAAAATGACTGACTGACTTATGTAGTTTGAGGGGAAAAATACTTTGGTTAATCTGATGAGAGTATCTATTTTTTTAAATTTCGTTAAGTACGAAAACTTAAAATTCTTGAAATATTCCACGAAATACAGTCGAATATTTAATATTTATTCGATATAATAATAAAACCTGTTAACAATACCACATTTATTGTGACATTTCCATTCAAGGATAGAAAACCTGTTTGTTTTGGTAATAGTCTACGGAAATTATTTAGAATTCAATAAATTATTTAAATGTTTTGATTATGTGAGTGGAATAGTATAATTTACATGTTACGCCGCGGCATATTTGCGATATTATTTATTTCCGAAGCGGAGATGATATTTCCTTCAGGCAATTAAACCCTTGAAGGGTCTAAGAAGTGTTATTATTACCGTATACAGTAAACGACATATCCTGAATCAGTTATCTAAGTTACGCTGGACTTGGTGCGGTGATTTCAATCTCATACCAAATCATAATTTGTATCTACATTCTTGTAAGTGTAAGCGAAAATATGACCGTTGCATGCAAAACCTGTATTGAGTAAGTAAAGCACAGGGATGTCGCCTTGCTAGTGCCATCTTCACCTTCTGGATACAACAGGAATAAGACGCCTAAATATAACTAAAACTTTAGCTTTTTTTTTCTACATGGAACTAACAACAGAGCTGGTGCGGCTTGTGATGCGGCTGAAAAAGCTAAAGTATGACCCCTGTGGTCTAGGCTCCGAAATTGTATTCGTTTTTACAACGCGAAATTAGAGAACTATCACTAAATAAATTCAAAGCCCTCGTTAAACGTAAATTAATCAATAAAGCTTTTTATAAATTTGAGGAATACTTAAATGATCCTAATCCTTGGGATTGATTTGCTCCAGTTCAAACAATTTGTATGACAATACTTGGCGATTAAAAAGAGTGGCGGAAAGTTTCTTGCCAGTTCTTCTTACCCGCTCTACGCCCTTGACTTGCGAACTGGTAGTAAATGTAAATTTACAATTAATTTAACTCCTTTCTGACAATTCATAAGTGTACTTGTTTACCTACATTAATACAGATATTTTGAGTTTGAGTTTGAATATGATTTTCTCCCATTCGGTGTCGAGACCCTTGGTCCGTGGGGTCCTAGCGCTATAAGGCTTTTTAAGGAAATAGCAAAAAGGTTAGTCGACATCACAGAAGACCGAAGAGCTGGCAGCTACCTCGGACAAAGAATTAGTCTAGCTATTCAAAGGAGGAAAGCTGCCAGTATCTTCGGAACCATTCCTAAAGGGACTCCTTTTATTGTTATGTCTATTTTGTCTATTTTAATAGTATATTTTAGTTATTATTTTTTAAGGTAAGTTATTGTTTTTTGTTATAGTAATTTAAAAATGGTTTTATCAAATTTAAATATAACTTATTACTAAGGCTTTTGATTTAATAAACCTAGTGTAGTGCAAGTGCAAGTGCGGTATCTCGTACACACGAACATAGTGTCAAAACATTATATATAACACTAAGACTGTTAATGAACATTACCTTAGTTTCAGCTATTCACTAGTATGTAGAAAATTAAGTTAACAATTACTTATTAGCCATAATTATTGTATAGGCTAGATTGTAATTCATGTAAAGCACTCTCTTTTGTGATCTCTATTAAAAAAAAACATTAAAAAGATATTGATAATTAACGATACATATAATATATGTATATATATATATATACGTACAAACTATAATATATTGTAATATTGACAATAAATCACATTATCTGACAAATAGTTACATATTATCTGATGACAAATTAGTATTGCGCAATTAATGTGTTATTTCTATATTTATCCGTAAATGGCTTTCTTGAGAAAAAAAATAAATGACAAGAATGGAGACCTATTATCAGTTGTATATACACGAACATAAATATTTCTATGCAATCAGATAGTTTAGAAATATGTCAATTCAGTGGTCAAACGCGTCGTTTTATATTTTTGATTGCCTAGGTTCTTAGGATTCCTGGCGAAACAATCCTTGTGTCCCGGCAATTGCTTATAAAAACAAAATTTGTTAAAAAATACGGATATGAGATTGATTGGTCCGCCTTGGGACTAGGACACTGAATTCATATAACATATAGTAATATAAGTTGAAAGTACGATTAGTGTTGTCAACCCCGACAATAACAATTTTAAGAGACCCAATGGGTCGAATTTAGTTTAAACAAGGGGTCAATTGCACCATATACGGTGGGAATATTTTAACAATAAGTAAAGAATATTTCACATTATAAACAAACTATGGCGTATATGGCATTAATGTTTAAGTAATAATAATTTACATACAAGCCCGAGAAACTGGCGGAGAGTGGTGTAATAGCGTAAAACCGAAGGTCCAAAAAATATATAATACATCTCGAGAATTATCAAAATTTGGGAAAAACTGTGACAGACCTTGAAACTAATTCAAAATAGGTATATCCGGCATATTGGATTTCCTTGTTTTTCTTAACATTTGAGATAACGTTGTGATTTTAAATAAGAAGTTACCTTTAGAGGATATTTTTTTGTTAGTTGCAAGGTGATTCTTAAGTGGTTGAAGACACATGATGTCTAAGAGAATTTGATGAGATGAATAGAAAAACTTCGAGGTTTGTTTTGTTTATGAACAGTTGAACTTATTTTAAAGTCGGTAACAAATAACAAATCGTAAGTTAATTTCAAAGACAAAGGAATACCGACCTCTCGATAATACAGATAAATATTTTTATCTAAATAGAATATAACATTAGTACTAAAACTATTTTATTAAAAAAAATCTTGGATTGACCGCTAATGAATATAGTTTAATAGGCCATTAAAATCAAAGCGTCTTATGTTAAAAAATGTTATCATAAAATGCTTTTTAATTCAAAATTTCCTTGAGAAGTACTCATGTAATTATTTAACATAAATATGTACTTGAATATGAATAGTGAATTAGTTTACTTCTATTCATTCGACTCAAAAGAGCAATTTCTATCGATGTAGTGCAATCAAATAAGATTATTCAACTCCAAGGTTGGCTAACCGCAAATAAAGCAAAACTACAATACTGGTTGAATTTAATTCATATGCCTTGGATAAAAAGAAGTGTCGTATCTTGTAGTTTAAAGTAAAAATCTTATTTTTATTTCTAACCGTTAAGAGCAAGTTATAAAATGTTTATGTTGATTTCTCTATTATAACCTATAACTCTAATAATAATTCAGGGGTTAACTGTGTTAGCATGTCATCAAATTGATTAATAAAGAAAATATATTACTTACCAGTTACAAAATCCCATCAAATTAAGTAGAAGCAAGGATGTTTACAGTATAATCGCTAATAACATCCTTCCATATCTAAAGCACAGGTTGACCCAATCACAAACAATAGGACACAGGACGCGAAATCACGACAAAATAAACATTTATAAGCTAATCAAACTGCATTCTTCAATAACCGAAATTTCACTAAAGCACGATTAATTAATGTTAAAATTAAATTAATTTCATACTTTTTATCTCAGAAAGCGTAACTTTGTCCTTGTACAGCCGCGGTAAATCGTAAGTAACAAAATACGACTAGTAGCGGTCACTGACAGTGACTAACTGAACTTCAAGTTTAACTTTTAACTGAGCTAAACTTGCTTAACTTGATTTTACCACAATGTTGTCTATTCCATACTTGCATCATTTTGTTAATAATCCGACACAATAATATGCTTTGTGCGATTATCATCAAACTTAATTAAGCTTGAGACACTCCGAATTTCGTAAGACAACGGTTTTGCAAAATAAAATGTTTATTTGTAATAGCGCCACCTAAGTTAAGTAGTACGTACTACAACTATAAAGTGTATCAGTGCCATCTATTAACTTACTAAAACATCAAGATCAAGAATTATTTTATTAGTCTAAGAAGTGCCATCTTTACAAAACTTTTTAAACTAGACACATTCAGAGCATAATGAAGTCATTTTAGAACTAGTATTTCCAGATAGAGGGTGTAACAAATGGATTTCGTTTGAATATGTACATTTTAATTGTGAAGCTGATATTTACTAACGGTATTTATAACAGAGGGCGTTTTGTTTGTCTGTAGAAACTAGCATAAAGTGACGTCTTTCATACACTGCACTGTGAAAATAAAAATAAAAATACTATTGTATGCTGCTGAATGTATTAATATTAAAATTCATAGTCCATTAACAAAACAAAGTCATATTTTATTTATCCTTGAACGTTAAGTGAGGCGTTAGTCACCAGATCTACCTTTAACATTCACGGGAGTTCCACTATTAGTGGCTGCATTGCCACCGACAATTCTGATACCTGGTTCTTCATCAATTGGCAGTGTGTCATCCATTGCTGTTGATATCACGTTCCCATCTGTATCTATAATGATATATGGTTCTGGATTTGACTGATCAGTGATTTCAACTTCTTCCGCTGCTTCCACACGTCGTTCTTCCATCGTTTCGTTCGCACTTAAATTTCCTCCATCAACATGCTCTTTACAATGTTTATTATTCTTGCACTTCCTGTGTCTACATCCTGAATGCTTACAGCCTGAATGGTGTCCAGATCTATCGGCTTCTTTCGATATTACATTTGAAAAGTCTTTACAGGGCTCTTCTTCATCTTGTTCATTTTTACATACTTTCTTTGTATTACATACATCATATTCACAAGTTGTTATTGTTTTGATAATTTGTACCGTTGTAGTTTTTGATTTGTCTTCTTTGTTATCAATTAAAAGGTGGCCAATCGGTATAATACCAAGACTTTGAATAGTGTTTTCCGATATAAAAAATGCTTCTAGGAATAAAATACCAGAAGGTATTTTGAATAAACCATTGTTAATGACCTTATTTATTAAATCGGATTCACCTATCAATATTGGTCGTAATTTAAGGTTGAAGAAGTTTATGTCTTTTCCGTAAGAACCGCCTAGTTTGGCAGAGGAAAGTTTAAAATTCTGTATAACATTCCTAATGAATATTTGAAGTACATTGACGTCTATAACTTTAGAAGAAAAGTTAAGTTGATTATGCAGAGCTTTCACCATGATATTCAACCATTCGTCAAACTTCATATTGGAATTGACATCAAACTCAGGGTACAATTCATTTATAGTGTGATTCGGTGTATAAACCATTATTTCACCAATTTTTTTATTTATTTCTAGTTGGCCATTTCTAATATCTTTCTTACCATTAATTCGTAAAATGATTTTTACATTATATGGGAATTTATGTAGTTGCTCTGGTTTATAGCGGATAATATTTCCCTTGTTTAACCAAGTAGGATAAAACTTATTTATTTCTGTCTTAACATGTTTGTTACTACTGGGATACAACTCTTTTTTGGGAAATTCATCTTGCGAAGTTTTTCCAGGTAAAGTGCGAAGTATCTTAATTTCTCTTGATCTGTCTAAGTAGCCTAAATGATCCTTATTGTCTTTGTTTAACTCATTTATGAGGATTTTTGAATTATCTTGGTTTATCAGTTCTTCTGGTAAATAATGGATAGGCTTTTGTTTTGGTGACTTTTTTACAGTTACCCAAGAATCATCATTAAATATTAGCGTATTATCAATGGATCTGAGAATTTCATTCGCATCGTATGCAATATTGGGGAAGACATGTTGCTTCGCTGCATTGGGAATGTAGATTTTATGTTCACCTGTTACAGAATTTTTAAATACGTAGACAACCTTCCTAAGTTCTTCGGAACCTGGAGTTGGATGAAGCAAATCAGTTATCTTGGAAGCATGTCCCGGACTTGGTGGTAGGCAGAAACAATCCTTTTTCGGTTTATTGTGGAATAAAAAATGTTCCCTGGAAAAACATATTTCAGTTAGTAATATTCGGTTCTTAAATATATCTGTGTAAGATGTTTTTTGTATGTAATGGTAAGAAAAAAACTTACTGGGCACATTGCGATAAAGCAACCCATGCTAAGAAAAGCGTTATCTGAAAGCAATACATATTTGTCAAAATTATTTATATAGGAATAAACTTGAAGCTTTCACAGCCCTTATTTTATCGTATCCTAAAATGCCTGTCTAAATAAAAAATAAAAATTCCCCTATAAATTTCATATATGTATTTACACTTGCTCACTGTAGTCTAGTGGTTTAGGTTAGCCAACACAAATCGCCTATTTAGTATCCAATTTCAAACCATCAGATGGACCATTATTTAATCATAAGATGTCTGAGCAAATGTGCAAAATTCTGTAACCTGTTAATCCACAAATTTCTCGGAAACAAGAAGTAATATCGAGATGATTTTAATTAATGGCATATTCAGAGACAAGTATTTCCAAACCAATTCAACTTAGGGTCCTTCAAAAAAAGAGCGTACCATTTCTTGAAAGGCCGGCAACGCACTTGCGAGCCTTCTGGCAATGTAAGTGTCCATGGGCGGCGGTTTCACTTAACATCAGATGAGCCTTCTGCCATTTGCTTTCTATTACATACGTAATTTTTGAGATATACACAGGTATTTGAAATCGGTTAAACTTTTCCGACGGTGACCCTATCACAATGTTAATATAAGTAATATTTAGAATACTTACTTTTATGAGATTCATGTTCCGTCGACCTCATCGGCGGATGGAATGCAATCCATAAGTTCATACATTCTAACACAATAATTTATATTGAAAATATAATTAGCGAAAAAAGCGTAATTTAGTTATACAAATTAGCGTGTATTTCTCGTCGTAAATAGGTCATAAAATATTATTTCTACCGTAATGAGGATACGCACATTATGTTTAAAAGTTAGTGTTATTTTAATTTCCATCTAACTCAAGTTGACAAATAAATACCTACTGATTTACACATATTATAGCAATATAGCTTCGATCAACGTGATCCATAGCTTGTGAATTTGGACTTTAGCCCTCAGAGCTACTCTTTTTGCTTTTAATGATCCTACTGGAAAGAGATCATTAACATACAGACATCGTAGGGCGTAAGTTTAGCCGGTCGTAGCTTCCAGCCAGCCATCAAGACCTCCGATCTTTGTAGCGCTATCACAGTGTAAATATTCACATGTCCAACCCATCGAAGAATGCTGAAGAATGCAGAAGAAGAAGAATGCTGAGGATAAGCTGGGTCCATAGAGTCGTGAACGAAGAAGTTCTACGGCGCGCCAAACGATCCCGAGAACTCACGTTGAACATTAAAAAGAAGAAGATAAGTTACTTGGGACATGTGTTTCGACACGAACGGTACCGACTTCTTCAAGCAATCATGATGGGCAAGGTCGAGGGGAAAAGACGCGCTGGCAGAAGGAGAAAGTCGTGGCTCCGCAATATTAGATAATGGACGGGAGTGGCCAGCGCAGAACAGCTGATGCGCTTGGCGAAAAATAAGGAGTATGACGAGCTGACCGCCAACCTCCAGTAGTGGAGAGGCACTTCAAGAAGAAGAAGAAGAACCCATCGTACCCTTCCCAGATTGCTTTTACGATGTCGTTGTATTTTCTATACTATTGAAAATTATGCTATATCAATACACTGGCTTATTAAACCGAATATCATATTTTGCTACACCAAACACTTTCAAAATTAATATTAAATTGTAATTCATTAAATAAAACGCATTTTCTTTTTAAATGTATGAATTTGAGTTTGGTATAATACCTTTTTGTTCCATATAAATAAAAGACAACGTCACTCAAAGTAATCATAAAATACAGAAAAAAATTGTATTGCAAAAATATTTAAACTTTGATTATATAAACCAAACTATGTTATCTCAATGCAAATTACCAAGGATTAGGAAATGTCCTGGTTATATGGTACGTAGTTTCAGAACTTCCCTGGTTCGTTCTGTTTCTCCTTCGGGACTGGGCAGAGGTGCAGGAAAGGGAGGCGGTGCGGGTGGATCGGTCAGGGAATCCGGAGGGGGGCTGGGGGAGTACGGCGCTGCGCAAGAAGAATTCTTTTTTTACAATAAACAGAAAGAACAGTTGGAGAAGCTGAAACAGAAGTTGAAAGAAGGAGAGATAAAGAAAAAGGAAGAGAAATAGATTTTATCATGCATTTAAAATATTTGAAAGTTCTTTTCCGTTTTCACTGATCGACTCTTGATGTTTGATTTCTTTCTTGTTTCTTAAATAAATTTAAAAAAAATAGTTTTGTTTTTTTTAAACAGTTAGCAGGAAGAGTATCCCTATCCGTAATCAGACAGTTATTTCATTGTAATTTCTCTTCATAAGCATTTAGGTTAGCCATGGGCCTCTTTGCCGGAAGCCATGAACCCTGAGGCGGTGTCGATATTACTTATATTGAAATTTATACCAAGCCATATTTAAGTAATTCTAATCGTATGATTTTTATTAATTGTAAGTTTATCTTCAGAATAAAAGCTTGTGTTCACCTTTTAAACTATTGTGTCCTTTATCTACAGTAATAACTGTGTATTCCTCTTAACGACCGTAGATTTGTGTATTACCTACGTTACGATTAATTATTATATTTATCTTAGAGATTGACTGATAATACAACAGCAGGCAAGAAACAAGAACTATTATTAGATAAAAATACAGCAATTACATTTTTTTTACACAACATTAATATCTGTTACTTAAGTAATCTTGATATACAAATAATTTGTAAAGAGAAAACAAAATTACCACCTGTTAAATTCATGTTGATTGCATAGATTCCGTGAAAATATAATTCCAGTAGTAGATTCGAATCCCGACATATCTTTACGAAGCAACGTGACAAGGACGTTTGTGTATAGTGTAGGCTGTCAGACAGCGAGATGATCCAACAGATTGGCGTCACGCTGCGCACGCCAAGCTCCCGTTCTCATGCGTGTGCGCATACCGATAGCAGAACAATTGATGACTGAAATTATTGTAAGTAATGTTTCTGTTGAGCAATGTTGGCCTAGTGGGTTAAGCGTGCGACTCCCATCACTGAGGTTTGGGCCCGGCTGTGCACCAATGGACTTTCTTTCTATGTGCGCATTTAACATTCGCTTTAACATTAGATTGAAAAATGATCACGAAGCAGGTACAGAAAACTGAGGCCCAGACCTAAAAAGGTTGTAGCGCCACAGATTTTTTTTTATTTTAACGGTGTTGTTATTAATCATTTAATGGTTTTTTTCTTTCAGAGTTCAGTTGTCATGCCAAGGAAAATAACAATACCTATTGCTTAAACCGAATTCCAATGTCAGAGGTAATTGAAAAAGAATGGACTTTGGTTCCAATAAATTCGGTTATTAATGGCAATTGTTCAAAACTGAATGAGAAGGTAATCCGTCTTGTAAATGGAGTCTATAAAAATAGCAATTAACTTCAAAGTCAATTAAATAAATAATATTATTATCTAGTTATAATTATTTTAATAAATTATTTTTACATAATATATTTTATGTTGCGTCTTGTTTTCTAACGCCATCAGTACAGACGCAGTGTTACGAATTTAATACAGAAGTTATTATTTCTAACGCTGTACGGTTCTGGCTGCTTTGCTTTGATAATTTCAACCTGTGTGCCTAAGGTAAGTATTTATTCTTAAATTATAAACATACGCAAGCAGTATTGTTTTGCTTTTAGTACTAACAGACGTGCAGTGACAGTGAGGTCCAGGGTTCAACTCCCGCTGTCAGGAGCGACTCCAATCTCCGCTCTCGACGAATCTCAAGAATGTAACGAAAATAAATCATCAGTAACACAATTTAATTACGTACGTACGTACGAAGTTAAAGTCTCTTTATTGTTACGGTATATGTAAGGTAATGGGCATTTAGATGTGTCTATAAGCACTTTATGGACGGGTAGAAGGATATTGAATAATTACGCTTTGTATTATTTTATATAAAGGGCAGAAGGCTCACCTGTTAAGAAATACCATAGACATGTCAGAGATCTCGGGAGTGCGTTGCCGGCATATAATGTTCAACATTTGGCTTGCTGTTGGAGGCTGTTCAGTAATGGGTTTTTCTTTAGATTTAATAAACAACACGCAATCAACATTTACTATAGTATAGAGCAATGTTAGCCTAGTAGCTTCAGCGTGCGATTCTCATTCCAGGGGGCATAGGTTTGAGTCCCGGTTGTGCACCAATGGACTTCCTGTCTATGTGCCCGTATTGCACTCGCTCATATGGTGAAGGAAAACATCATAAGGAAACCGAGTGCCTTAGACCCAAAACAGTCGACGGTGTGTGTCAGGCACAGACGGTTGATCACCTACTTGCTACTATTAGAAATGAAGACGGAACGGATACAGAAATCTGACGCCCAGACCTAAAAGATTGTAGCATCATTAATAAGTTTTACTAGTTCTTATTCTTAGGTCTTAGACCTAAAAGTCGAACAGATGTCACCAAAGAGAACAACGTATCTATAAAAAAATATCAATGAAACAGAGGAAAATGTATTTACACCATGGGTACTATGATGCAGACATTACACAGTGAGTACGCAAATTGCAAGATGTTTATAGCAGTTTTTAAATATACTCCATACGTTCATTATAGTTTTTTCTTTGGCATAAAGTAAAGCTTTTAATACTTTCTTCGGTATAAATCAACCATTGATACTAAGGCGGTCAGCAGAAGCCGCAACATCAAATGCACCGCCACCTTTGAAGCACCGCTTTGTGGCTACTGACCAGCTCTCATTACAAGATATTCAATTGATAATTAGAGTACATACTTTTTAAATCAAGTATTTCTGTGCCGAAATGAATTTGCATTATTCTGTATGTGATTGATTGTGTTTCGTTTAAGTTTCTAAAGAACTTAATAAATAGTTTAAATTTTACCAATTGTCTACCATAAATATACCACAGAAGAACGGTAGCACACCCACATCTTACCAGTGTGAAGATTTTGTAACAGATATATTTTGATTTCAATAAATTTTATTCTTAGTATGCCTATACTGCCTCCGAAAGCTTTATTAATGGACTAATCTGTAAGTAGATTGATAATATTCGTGATGAGTATTTTTAGTTAAATTACTACGAGTATTACATAGATATTTTTATGTTATAGGCATCCGGTATATTATCAGAAAACATGGGATTATAACTATAGAATCTTGACAACGGAACAACTAGGACCACTAAAGTGTTATTATGAACGTCGGCAAGCGTACAATGCTAGTAGTTAGTATTAAACTAATATGCACTATAAAACCATCGACACGGTTCCTACTTTAAAGCTAATTTAAAAACGTTAGATTACTTTTTCATACTATCTTTGTCAAGAACAGAACAATGTCTACCGTAATTCGTGTATTTGAGTGACCAACGCCTAGTAAGTACTTACCCAAACTTGTTTATTTTTATTTAATCAGGTAGAACATAAATGCTTGTTTTGTAAGTCGAGATGCCGCCGTAAGGACATTTTGTGCGCAAGTGATAGTGCGGTTACCTCAAAGTATCCTGAACAGGGATTATCCTACAAAGACGAAACCTCCCAAGACGAGTGGCTAGCGAATTTGAAAATGGAAGCTTTCAAAAATGGAATGCCGAACTTTATTCCAAATTTAAAAAGGTATATATTGTTATCTCTGTATATTCAATAATGAATGTTGTCTATTGCCTTTAGGTAGCTTTTATTAGTAAAGATTTTTGTACATGTTAAACTGTTGTCTAGAAATAGTGACGGCTTAACAGTAACAGTATAACACCATGTGTTTTATAAAAACATGTTAGTACTGTGTTTGTCCGCATGGTTATGATATTGTTCCTGTATCAATAGAAAGTATAATAACAAATACCGTATAAACTGTACCACGATTAGGACATAGGGCCGTGAGACTATCATAATTATTTATTTCATATGAGTAAAATAATTATAATTTCAATACATGAAAAACGCTATACGTGCGTGAAATAGTTTGGTTTTAGCAATTTAAAAAACAACTAAATATAACATAAATTAATAAAACATTTTATAAATTTTGATTTAAAAAGTATTTTTGACGGCTTCTACGTTCGTACTTTTACATAATTTATTAATACTAAAGGTTGGATAAAAATTAATAATATGGATAATGGTAATTATAATAAAGCCTTTTGTTTTTCCATATCCTTAATAGTACGGGAGGTAGCAACGTTTTCGAGAAAGAATTTTAGGTCAGCTGATTTTGTGATATGTCTTCCTTCTTGCACTTTCGGTTAGAGTCTTGGCAATCTGGCTGGCGGTAGCGGTTGCGTTCTTTAGTGCGCATCCTATCTGTCCAACTAATATCCTGGATTTTAAAAGCATTTTAAGAAGCGTAATTTTTAATTTTTCCTTTTTAAATAAGTCTACCTGACATACTTTTTTTATTGCCAGACATTTTTCACATTGCTAACTATGTGCCAGACGCGATTTTAAGTTTTTTTTTTATAAAAATTTCAAAGTATTTTAGAATGTCTGTAATTTTAATGTTATGTTCTTTAAATATAAGAAAAACTAAAAATGAATTTGCCAGACATTAATTCGATTGTTAAGCCTTGAATTAAAATGAAAAAGTCATGAAAAGTATGGCAGTATGATGCCTTTCATTGGTAATAAAAACATTTACGTAAGTTTTAATAAATGTTATTCATACAAAGTGATAAATAACTAAGTAATTAAAACTATTGAAGAATCATTATCGCGTGAGAAGATTCTGAACAAAAAAAAATTAAAAATAACGCTTCCTCAAATGCAATGCTTCATCATACTGCAATACTTTTTCATTTTAATTCAAGGCTTAACAATCGAATTTATGTCTGGCAAATTCATTTTTAGTTTTTCTTATATTTAAATAACATATTATTAAAATTACAGACATTCTAAAATACTTTGAAATTTTTATAAAAAAAAAACTTAAAATCGCGTCTGGCACATAGTTAGCAATGTGAAAAATGTCTGGCAATAAAAAAAGTATGTCAGGTAGACTTATTTAAAAAGGAAAAATTAAAAATTGCGCTTCTTAAAATGCAATGCTTCATCATACTGCAATACTTTTTCATTTTAATTCAAGACTTAACAATCGAATTAATGTCTGGCAAATTCATTTTTAGTTTTTCT